GTTTAAAATCATTGAAAACATTCTAACTAATGTGAGAAATCCATGTAAAATTACATTAATTGTGGGTAAAGTATATTGTGCTATCAAAGTCGCGACTTTTGACAATCGGCGAAACGTCCAAAGTCGCCGCCAATATACTTCCAAACCAAATGCCCAAAAGTTAAAAAAAAAACTTTTTTTAATTACTAGTTTTTTCATAACATTTATTTACTTTTGTATGTGCTCGCCGTTGTTTTGCAAATCTCAGCCTTTCCAGTTCGAAGGAACGTGTACCTGCTTGCACGTCTGCTCACTGCAGCACGTTTCGTTGGCGTTGGAAGCCGGTGAAACAGTAGTGAGTTTTAATATTGCGTATACGACCGAACTCAAGCCCTGTGTGTTTGCGTTAGCTTTGCGCGTTCCACACTGCGCGTGCACGGAGCCTGAAATTGCAGCATTGGATGGCGCGTGGCGATGAGGCGCACGCACAACGTGGGGCAACTCTAACGCAAACGCACACCGCTTGCATTTGCTTCTACGTGCAATACTAAAACTCTCCAGTAAAGTACAATCCCATACCGGCTGCAGCACTACGTTGGGACAGTGAAGAGTGTTGTTTGCATTCGGAAACAACATTTCGCGAGCCATGATCGCGAGCAGTTCCGCCATGCCCGCTGAGCAGGAGAATCGGGGGACCCTCACTACAGCGCTTCCCGTTTCCGCCGCGGGAGGGCGAGCGTCGAGCTGGAGACGCGAATACCCAAAAGCTAGCTACTGGAAAATGAGTGAACTTGTTCGATGCCCTACTCGGCAACTGTCACCGTGTGCGCGGTCTTCCGTACCCGTCGCTAGGCCTAAATTGTCATCGGGGCTCCATGGATGGAGCGGCGTTGCTCTACCCCGCGCTGCCAGTGACGTACAATACTGGGGGCCCTCTCGCTTTCGTACCGCGGGTCAGTCCCAGACACAAAGCTTTGAGGCTCTCTGGCGCGGGTCGCGGTGCCTAAACGCATGTGTGCTGGGCTGTACACGTCTGTTTTATCGTTCTTTTTTACTCGGGCGTGTAAAAGCCGAAGTCCAAATCCACTCGTCGAACAGCGTTCACCCACACCTTCTCTAATTTCCGGTCCATTGGAAACTTGTGAAAAAGCACCTCCGTGTTGAGCAGCGGGTTGTTTGAGCAGCCCACAGCGCTACAAGTTGCACTCGGCATCTTTCGAGGAACAGCTGGGCAGTCTTGGGTGCACTGAGTTGCTCGCTAAAACGAGTCTTGGGGTCCTCACGAGCAACTAAACAAAAGGCTATACCGAAGCTACATGGGCTACAGATAAAAGCAACGGCTAAACACGCCAATCACAAGCCGAAGTAGTGGTAGTAGCGGCTGAAAGAAGCGCACTCCGCGCAACGCCCAGTCCGGAGGAAAAAAAGAGAATGATACTGACGTTATAGCCCAATGTTGCTTTAGCGATCGGCAACCCGCTGGCCGCCCGCTAAGAAGCAGCGGCTTGACGCGGGTCGCATTTTTATTATCCGCATTAGTTGAGAATGCGGCGTCCCACGGACGTAATATTTTGGCTGGGGTCGTATTTTGTGTCACTACAGCGATACCAGTAATTTACTTCATTTTGAGTTTTGGCCGGAGTTGCCCTTTAAGGGTGATCAATCATTCTCGGTAGACTGGGATAGCGCTGTTGTTTACTATGCGCAGAAAATAGATTGGCGTCAAGGAACAGTTGGTATGCATTGCTGGAACAGCTGTGATCTCGGCTCCGGTGACAAGGTACCGGTTCTTGGTGGCTCGGTCACACACGTAAAAAAGGCGACTTTCGTCGAGGCCCTGACGACTCATCGCCTCTAGAGGTCGGCCGGCCTGTTTCCCTGCCATGAACAGGGGCGGACGGAGTGACGGACATTGGCATTGTATCGGCAGGGGTAGTAGCAGACCCTGGAAGAACTCGGTGATCGCTTGCTTTCGCCGCGTGCCCGGCAAGACTACGCGCACTAGATAAGGAACTGCGCTGGACCTTGTCGAGTCAGTCTCGCTCTCGCTTCTTGTTATGCCGCCAAATCATTGCCTCCTTTTCTGCTGTCTCGACGCCTGTTCTTTATTTTGTTTAGCACAAGTTCGTCAATTACAGTTGCTGTCCAATTTTTCTGACACCGATAACTCGGACTTGTTCGATATTTCGAACCTAAAGAAAGAACCGTGACCTACCTGATAGAAATAATGCATATTCACGACCAATGTTTCAGACAGACTGAAGTTCGAAAGTTTGATTTTTCGGACAAAATCGTCACAAGCGATCAGCGTGAAATACCACCGAGAAGCTGCCAGTTTGGATTCTATGTTGGCTGCACATGGATTGGCTTGGTTTGGCAGCACTAGTACTTGAGTACTGCTAAGTCCTACCGCTAGGTGATGCTGTTTGGCTTTCTTTCTAGCTGCACGTCATTAACATCCTCATAGTTTCCATTTTGCTTTGCTCATTCGCCATTGCAGTCATGGACTTGAACCTCTCCTCTTGATCTCATCTTGGTGAATCGTGTTTTCGGACTTTGCTGGCTTAGACGTCCATTGCCCTTCTGTTCTTTAGCCGCCGCAACGTGTCCCTAAGCGCGGAGAGTACTCGACCATAACGCTAGAAAAAAAAGGTAGAGATTATCAACCTAACAAAAAGTTGCCGAACACAAACGGAGGCGTAAGCTAAAACAAGGCACATAGGTGTAACCTGAAGCAAGATACTATTTACGGCTTTTTTAAGCCCACTTAGATGTAATGAAAGCAAGTTTTTTAATCTGCAGATTTTTCGGACTGTTCTATTATTCTGTCATTTTTTCGGTCCCTGCGAAGTCCGAAAAATCTGTCGGCAACTGTATAGTCAATCAGATTGAGGACTTCCACTTCCCCCAATTTATGGCAAGGTCAGGTTCCCAATGTATGCAACACATTGCAGGTGTACAGGGTTCTCCCCGCGGAAGGCAGCAGTGGCTTTACCGCCCATTGCTCCAACTGACCACCCATTGCTCTGACTGACCGCCCACCGCTCAATTATGCCACAGGAGGACGACTCGATTTTGCCTGCGCGCATGGCTGCAAACCGTTGTACTCAGTAGGCCTGCACACTGCCATGTTATTGCGTGTTATCGCATCGCCCACCGCCGCCATTCTTTCAAACAAGGAGAGTGTAGCTGCAGAGCGCGGCCGGCAGTGCGGGTAAACAGATGTGACGAATGCACACCACGCAGCAGTCCTCTCCGCAGGCAGAGAGCAGAAAGCCGAGAGGACTCTTCTTTCACTGCTCAATGCTTGCTTGCGCCGTGGCGTGGCACCACTTACAGGGCTGCAAGGATAGAGAGCCTATGCAAAGTGTTCCGACGTCAAGCCCGATCGTGCCGCATTGCAAACTACACCCCCCTCCTCTCCAACCCCCCCCCCCCCCCTTCCTCCCACTCGCAGGGGGGTTATGTCCACTCCTAAAAAATTACAGGGGGAAAACCCTGTAGGTGTGGTATACATATGTTCAATGGGAGTCCGTGAATGAGCCCTAAAATAACTGAGGATTCTGTGGCGATGCAAAGTTTGAGAAGCACCAGCATTAAGAACAGCCTATCCAGACACTGCCATATCTGTCAGGCCCAGGGAAAAAAAAAGTGACAGCTGTTTGGAGTTTGAAACAGTTGAAATTGCCCTTCACCTACCAGACTGCTTTCTCACACTCGCAAGTCTCACTGGATGCAATGCATCCACAGTGCTTACTTGCGAGTTATGCAGCATATGTCATCAATCTTTTCTTAATGGTGCCACACACAACAGGTTGCGTAAAAAATGCTACGCATAATAATAAGTGGGAAAGGAACAAGACAGTAGAAGCAAAAAGGTTAATAATGGTTTGTAGCAGGCAGGTTCCTTTAATGTGAAATAATAAATCCACTATTTTACAAATTATGAATCATGGTGAAGGTGCAAAAAGCTATGAACACAACGAAGAAGACACACACACTTCTTCCTTGTGTACGTTGTATTTGGAGCCTTACAGCATGCTTCATTAACGTTCACCAACTAGCCCGACTACAAGTTCTTCTACAGTATATTTTGCAAGGTGTGTGTGCCGTGTGTCAGAGCTTTCCCTGTGCGAACTATATGCTAGATTTGGACTGCTTAAGAGAGAAGAAAACACTGTTTGCCAGCCTAAAGTATCCTTAACACATTACACAGAAACCACAGATTATAATTTAGAGAATATGGCGATACTTCTTTTCTCACGTTCGAAATGAAAAAAGACCATACTTACTTGCACAATGAATGCACCCCCCACAACGAGCATCTAGATTTGGACTTTTTTTTTCCCCTCACATAATGAATGCATTTTCAATTTTTGGCTCCGCGAGTCTCGAACTGTGCCCAACGCAGCTAGCTACCAAGCCAATTTTCTTTTGCCGCCAAGCGGTCAGGCCAAGTCAAGCCAAGCCGCTCTCGTAATGGCTGCAAGTGCGGGGTTGCGGAGGAGATCAAACATGGAACCGAGCAGCATGCACACCTAACGAAGCTGAAGCCGAGGAATTGCCCAGCCCCGGACATGCTTCGCCCATCGGATGCATTGATGTCAACAAACACGCCGTCGTCTGTGGTCTGCTTTCGGACAGTGAAAACTCGAAAGTGGTTAGGCCCAAGAACGGTCGCGTTGCTCTTCGTGCCGAGTGAGCTTCGTAGGGTGCTTTTCCTTCAGTTAAAGGCACGCCGAAAGCGCCCTAAAAGGTTCGCAATTTAGGGGCATGGTTACTGTGGCGCGCTCACGGTCAGTTGTGGGTGTGCCTCCGTCAGTGGAGACGTGCCACAGTACACTGCTGTGTCATATTGACACCTAAAATTACACTTGCGCAAAGTGTGTAGATGCAAACATTTTACCCCACACAATGAATGTACTCCCCAAAATATGTGTCAATTTTTCGGGAAAAAAAAAGTATGTTCATTATGCGAGTAAATACAGTAAAATGCACAAAGGGAGAAAAAAAGGCTTCACCTCTGAGGGCCTTCTGCTGCTGCTCTTTGATCTCGCCGACAGTCAAATCCTGAGTGGCTTCAGTCTCCTCCGCATTCCAGCCACCCTCGCTGACTCCCGCGGCCCCAAAGTCGCTCCCAAAAAGTTCACTCCTGACAAAAGATCACCAAAAGAACTTTGTAAGGGTATCGGAAACCAAAAAAATAAAAAAAATGCTCACACACCGACACATTCATCAAGGTGCTTTAAAGTAATGCTATGAAGAAAAAACACACCAACAGAGTTTTCAATCCTAGGATGCCCGGAAAGGGAGGGCGCAGTCACGGATGCGCCAGCAACATCATCAGTTGTAACCTTTTGTGGACAAGGCCTTACAATGCTAAGGCTGGTTGACGCACTTGCGTACGAGCACACCGTGCTCCCTCGTGATCACTTACAATGAGAGGATATGCCGGTGCCACCTATTGGGTAGCCCTGGAACACCGACGATTTACGCATATTTCTCAAATTTTTCAGATCATAGTTCGTTCACCCTAGCTCAAAAGACCTTTGACAACATTATCAGTGGTCATTTCTCATAGATAGTACGCACATTTGGGGAGGATCGGTGGACGAGCACGCTAGCACACTATGACTCGGACAACATGGAACGAAAGTTTTGCGCCACAGAACCCGAGTTCAAACCCCGCCCATGCCCGTTTCGATCCCGATGAGCATCACGCCGGCAGGCGGTTGTGTGTCGCTACCGCACAACACACGTCGAAGACCCCAGGCTAGCATTGGTACTGCACCGGCTAAATTTCTCATCCAGGTCCTGAATCGGAGTCGCCTTACCTCAAAGGTACACTGACCTTATTCTGTCCAAACACAAACGTTGTATTTGGTTTGGTATGCACATTTGATTTTGCAAATACTGCAAAAAATGCTGTCTAGTTGTATGCAGTTCCGGGGCTACCTGATAAATAATTTCGGTGCGTTCTCTAGTAAGCAATCGTAAGAGAGCACAAGGCACTTTGTCACATCCAAATGCAAATGCGTTAACCAGCCTTTATGTGCGAGTGCGTGGCTTTAAAGCGGTGCTGAGAAAAGTCAATCCCATAGGCCTATGAAGCGTCTGAAGACCTCCATGGCTTCCTAATTACGGTACATTACAACAACTACAATTGCTGTAATGAGTATTATTTTAAACCCAAACATGTAACCATAAGCCCTCGAGTTTGGACATTGGCCGAGTGTTTCTGGAGCTTCAAATTGACACTGTTGCATTGGAAGTAAACAAGAAACTTAAGAAATCAGATTTTTATGTCGCCCTCCTCCATTTCTGCTATTGGTTCTTCCCATACAGAATTTTTAAGATCTTTAAATTTTTTGACAATGATTACATCTTTTTGTAAGCACAAAGTTTTGCAACTAGTTGCTGGTTTTGTAGAAAAAGAATACGCAGTATTTGAGAGACTGCAGCAGGTTTAATTCAGTGCAGCAGGTTGTCACCCGTGGCATTCATCATATTACTTAAAGGGCAACTCCGCTCAATTCCGAAAACTTTAGGCTTACGTGTGATTCCATTTCACAAAGCACTACTAAACAGCTCTACGCCCTCGGATTCCCGAAATGTGGAATATTATTTGTGTAATCTTAATTTAAGCATCAGCTGATACCGAAACCGAAACTTCGGTTGCGTCAGGCAACATTGGTCTCGTGTCGTCAGAGTCATGGCCACGTCACTATCGAACCACGTGGTCTTGTGACGTTCGTGGGGGCGAGGGACAGGACACGCGACCTTGACGCGACGGGGGGGTCGCTTTGCATGGCATGGACAGTGATGGCCCGGGGGAGAGGGAGAAGAAAAAGAGGAGAGGGGGAGCGGAGAAACAGACCGATAAACGCGCAGGGCAGGGCAAACTAGCGCATCCGCGTTACGGTGATCACGTGGACGCCGTTCAGCCAACACCGGGAGGAGAAACTCATGACGTCATCGTTAAATTTCGCTCTGAGAAGTAAAAACAAACAAAGCATGAGTATGACATAGTCATGCCTCTGACATAGTGGTTCAACGTTGGCCGCTCCAACTCCGTCGCATTGACTTCGCTGACGATTGTGCCTCACGTCGCACGCTAAAAGTTGGCAGATTCCGGCGACTTGGCTGATTTGAAAGTTTGCTGGCCAGTTTATTAAATATATAGACGGAATTAGATTGTAATATTTGACATGGGGTCTTCCCATATGATACTGAAGAGGGCTACATAGTTTTCTATATATCAAAAATGAAGCAGAGTTGCCCTTTAAAGGCGGACGACCAGAGCTAATATTATGCAAGGCTTTCCTCCACTAACGTCTTCAAGCAAGGGAAGTGAAGCATGGAATGAAGGGACCAAGAAAGTCGGGCAGGAGTCTGCAAGCCCCATTCGGATGGTGGGGTGGTACATTGTGCAAGCACGTGAATGGAGACGAGCCTGCAAAAAGGGTGCACCCACAATCGACACGTCACAACCTGTGGGTTGGAGGATAAGCGAAGGAACCTTCCAGGAACAAAGGTTAAATTTGGGGGTTTTACGTGCCAAACCAAAGGCAGGCACCTGGCACGCCGTGGAGGAGGACTAAGGATTAATTTCGACCACCTGGGGATCTTTTGACGTGCAACAGAAATCTCTGTTACCACGGCACCTTCTCTGCAATAAGCCTCCGTCAGATTGCGGGCACCTCGGCCAGGATTCAAACCGGCCACCTGGGGATCCATAGGCAGGCACTTTGCCTTGAAGCAACGTTACTAAAACACTCAGTTGGAAAACTGCCATAGAGACTAATCTGAAAAAGTGGCCCCGATCCGTCCTCGAGAACCGAGCCAATGACGGACACAACGCCACCATTTCTCCCGCAGCGGCCACTCGAGGAACTGTGCGTTACTTCTATTTTGGCTTTTATCGGCCATTGAGGAGCCGAAACAGATACAGCGGAAGCGGTTACAGAGATCCACCCCCGCCTCCCCATTGAAAGCACCGCGACTTACGACCGAAGTTAAAATGCACCTAGGTCGGGACACGCTACCTGAAAGCATGGGTGAGGCACAATTGTATAAAAACAATATTAATTGTGACGCAAAACCTTGCAACCTAAAGATTTTAAAAACATCACGCGCTTATCGTTTGGTACTAAACTCGAATAAATTTCATACGAAAAGAGTCTTTTCTGTCTGTTTTTGCGCAAAAACATGCTTTCTAAAAGCTCAAGGTGACCACAGTACAGACAAATGATAAAGAGTGGCGCTGTTGTCGTATTTAGCTCGGTCTCGGTGGACGCCAGCGGCCCAAGTTTCGACGGCGAGTTTCCCAACTGAGTGTTCTAGCAACGTTGCCTCGAAGCCACCTCGGCAAACCTTCCAGAATCAGGAAGCAAGAACTGAGTTTGTTTGTCACATTCTGCAGTACGTTTTCGCTGGGGGCTTCTTTGACCACCGCAATCTTTAATCAATGTGTATCATGATGTTTGCAACTCAAGACTGTGGTGAGAAAAAAAAAAGAAGGAAACTTTGGAGTGGAAGAGAATGACACAGGGTGTAAGATAAGCTGCAGAGAAGCCACAATGTGTACGAAAGATACGCTGGGGGGAACTCAGTCACTGAAAAGCGACTTCATCAAGGAAGCAGGATCTAACTCCCTTTCTCAGAAGGAGAAGCAATCATGTCTTTTCAGAACTTTTGAACCAGCATCTGTGTGGGGAGGCTCATGCGCACAGCATGTATTACAAAATCCTAAATATCTCCTTGATAAAAAAAATAAAAAAAAAGAAATGAAGCACTCAAAAGCTAAGAACCGCTTCCAGTCGTATTAAGCAACGTCACCGTCCTTCCCCTCTTCCCAAAAAGAAAAAAAAAACTCCAAGGAAAACATATAAAGAAAGACCGGTACAGGGCATGCAGACTAAAATATTGCACTGACGTCAATAGCATTGTAACTCATGAAACTCACAGACTCAAGGCCGCATGTCTACCATGTTGGGGTTGCTCTTTTGTAACCAAACCCCCCCCCCCCCCCCCCCATTTTCTTTTTCTAGTTGAAGTCTGTGGCTCAGTGGCCACGGGCTTAGCAGAGCAGAGGAAGAGGAGGTAGAAAGGGAGGAGGAAGCAAGAGAGAAGTGGAAAGCGTGAACCGGTCGTAGTCCTTTAAGTGGAAAGAGGCTGCGAGTTCACCATGTTTTCGAGTTAAAAGCCAATAATGCAAGAATTACTCCCAGCCAGGTGGAAAATTGCTGCCCAGCTTTACACTCATCTTCCCTCTCTGCACTCTCTCCTCTTCTCCTGAATGTTGCCAATGCTGTCCGTGTGGAATGCACACATTGACACTTTCTTATCTAGTGGGTCAGTGTGTAAACAAAATTGACCAGCAAGCAATGTTAACCCTTTAAAGGCTGTCGCCGTACATGCGCAGCAGTGATTACAGATTTGAAAGTGCCCATAGAAACGCAAAACCACGTGCACCGCGGGAGGTGTTGGCCTTTGATATGTCTCGGGCAAACTATAATGTTATGTTTGCAGTGTTTCACTTTGCTGGGGCTATTTATACTTCTGAAAGTAGACGCTCAGCGCACCTCACACGCGTGAGATGCTTTCTTTGCGTGTTGGCTATTCTTGCGGTAGTGGCAATTGAACAACCGGCTCTGCTGATTCAGACTTTTAATAATTCTCTGATAGTTCAACTCAGCATATGCAGTTGTTTTTATTTGCTGATGTTATTATGTTGTTTACGGTGGTTAAAGTGGTTGAAGATTGTGAATGTCTTCAGCGTGATATCGATTCTATTTCGTCGAGGTGTTTCTCGAATAGCCTATTTCTAAACAAGTCTAAGACGAAAGGTATGTATTCTTCTAGAAAGCGTTTAATTCTGAATTTTTCATATACATTAGAATCCACCAATATTGTGTTGAGGCCATCCATGATCTGGGAGTTTTTATGGATACTGCGATTCATTTCAATCATCACGTAACTACAATCACGAATGCTTCCTTTAGAGTTCTGCGAGTCATTACGCAAACATAACACACAGCTTTACTAAACCGTTGTTTTTTTATGTTTGCTTTCTTCAATCGTGCATAGTCGTGTCGAATATGCCTCAACCATCTCTATCTGGAACTGTATTGGAGTGACTCATTCAAAGAGTAATTGAGTGCATTTAATGTAAATTCATTTGTGTATTGTTTGATCGTCAATTTCACCCAAATTATTTCTGCAGTTACGAAAGGATGTGTGACCTTGTGAAATTGAACATGTTGCTACACAGGGAACATTCCGTGGATTTATATTTTTGCACGATCGTAAATGGTTCAATTGATTCACCGGCACTACTAATTCATGTCTACTTGCGCGTTCCTCGTAGGTCTAATAAACTTTATTTTGTTTTCATCAATCTCATTTATATAACACAACACCCATGACACACCTTCAATTGATGTGTAATCGTTTGGAACAGATTTGTGGGAATGTTAGCCTAATATATTTTTTATGAACGGCTAAACTTAAAACGTCTGGTGAGCACTGTCTTGTTCTAACTCTATTTTTTTATTGTGTCCAAACAATTATGCTACTATCCGACGCTGATAAGTGCACCACTAGGGAGGCATCAAACTGTTTGTAAATCACCAAAAAAAAAAAAAATCTTTTAAGGTTTTTTAGAGTTGAATTCAGGTGAGACCATACCATCCCCAATGAGAAGCTCTGTAAAGTATCTCCAGTTTGAACTTTGGGGGAGCTGGAATGTTGCAAAAACGGACACGCCGAAATAAAACTGAATGGAAGATAGGTGACAACTTTTGACATTCAATATTTATATCTGATGCTTCTACACCTAAACTGCTTGCAAACCCAACAGATGCTCCCAATAAATAATTAGGAAAAAAACGGGTGCATTAACCTTCTCTTTATACTATTCCTTTTGGAACAAAATCTGACCACTGAGAATCATCCTTTAGAAAAAAAAAATAACTCAACCATCAAAAAGATAAGTGATGAAAACATATGGGATACTACAAACCTTCTTGCCTGGCCAGTGGAGCCCTGCTTTGCGGTCAGCAGGTCCTCCATTTCACGGCCCTTGTTGACCAGAGTGCTGATCATGTATTTACGCCGATCAGCTTCACCAACCGTGCTATAAACGTCTGTTATGGAAACGACACTCTTTTGGGGTCATGCAGTTGACTCCTCACTGATTAAAGGACACATGCAAAGGAAAAAAAAAATTTTTTTAGACAGCTTAGATGGAAAAAGGATGTCATAAAACGATTTTACAACGAAAAAACAAAATTTTTAGAGCTATATTTACGGCGCTATACGAATTTGTAGTTGGCGCTCGCGGGAGCCGCCGCTGGTCACGTGGTAGGCCCGCGCGCCGCCGCGCTGCGTCGCCGCCGCACGCTGAGCGTTGTGCGAACGCCGCTTCAACGCGTTTCTCCACGCCGCCGTCGCCGCCGCCGCACAAGTTCGTCTGCTTCGGGGCGCCGCCGCCGTCGTCTGACCGGCGCACAGGTCTATCACGTCTGCTTGCGCTTTTTCAGGAGTTTCCTTTGGGCTCTAAAAGTTACTTATTCGTCTTGGTTTTTTGTTATACTTCAAACAAAGATGAATAAGTTACTTTTAGAGGCCATAGGAAGCTTCCGAAAGAGCGCAAGCACCACGTGATAAATAAAGACCAGTCACGTGATAAATACAGACCACTTTTCCGCAGTGCCCGCGGGCGCCAACTACAAATTCGTTTTGCGCCGTAAATATAGCTCTAAAAATTTTTTTTCTTCGTTGTAAAATCGTTTTATGGCGTCCTTTTTCCATCTAAACCGTTTAAAAAAAATGTTTTTTTCCTTTGCATGTGTCCTTTATTGACTAAGAGGAAACGACACTTTTTCACATTCATCCCTACATAGAGAAGACAATGCAGCAGGCAGCTGGCTGACTCACACTGCCTTTGAGAAAACAGTCTGAAAAATAACACAATCTAGAATGGGCTGAAGGTCCGGGCCACAGTGACATGCCCAGCTACAGCTCATTTCGATTCGGACAGATCTTGTGTAAAGCCTATGCCTTCATCAATCACAATGCCGCAGAAACATTTGCTTTTCCGGTAGCCGTTGCTAAAGTTCGGAGTTAGAGAAGTCTAAAATCATATTCTGTAGAGTGGTGAATTTTATAGCTTGATCATTCACTCAACTCAGTGAGGAAAACGATATGATACACTCAACACATGCTGATGACAACAATCAGTCACAAAGAATCATATATGACTGAACTAGCGGTGAGAGAACAATATCTCTCCATGAAGATTACCACGCATCACGAGTAAATACTGGCACAAGACTGCTTCTTAGTTCAATGACTGTGTGTGCCGAGAACTTCAGGCCACTGAAATAAGTTCAAAGTTCCGTCTTGCAAGCATCAAGGCATGCCTCTCATGACAAGATTTGAACATGTAATATAATAACACTTACTGGCACCTCCACAACCATGGTAACAAGCAACAAAGAACCTCCTTCACTTTGGAGATTGTTCCACATAACACTGCTTCTTTACAGAGAAGTGACCTATGACCCAAGGATACAACGAGTCGCTTGCAGCAGTGAGGCCTGCGGTCAACTTTGAAACTTCGTTCCTGTATCTCCCCAGGCTTTGACGTATCTTGCTGGTAGCCTGCAATGAGAGAAGTCCTGCTCGGCTTGTCTCGAAACTGGCTTTGGTCAACAAAATAGAGTGGGTTCAAAAAAAACTTTTACGCCATTTATAATTAGAAATTGGTCAGTGCCGTGTCACACCTGAATGTGAGCCGAAGTCTGTCGGGCGTACTGGTTCCGCTGCACAATTTGCTCCATGATTTCACGCGCCATCGCTTCGCAAGCATCATGTGCAGAGAGCCTGAAATATTTGAATGGTGGATGTAGGATACTTTAGAAACATGCACTCTTGTAGAAAGTTGGTGACACTCGTGAGTGTACCCAATGTGAGGTCCATGAAACGTCAGCGAACGTTGCTTGGTCAAATGACGCTTGGTCAAATGCTTGTTTCAAAGAACTGTTTTAGCAAAAGACCCTTCTGTACTGGAAGGGCAACAGCTACCGTTGGTGTCAGTAGACAGAGGGAATGCTCCCTTTCCTCGCAGATACTACGCTTCTCGAGGCCCGCCACAACAAGTGTGAACTGTCGACTGCTATCGTTGGCGGTTGGCCAGCAGGCGCACATGCGTAAGGGTTGAAACCTTTCTGTTTAGCCACGCACGCTGCCATGTACACACAATATCCCCTATATAAATTACAATTATGGTTAAAGCCGGCGGCATGACGCTCCATACCGTCGGAGGTCACAATGTATATATCCGTTTTCGTTTAAAGCTGCGTGCGTGCGTGCGAGCGAGGGGCGGGGGGGGGTTCTCATTTGTTTTATTTGTTGAGTAAAGCTATACGCACTCCGGAGTGCGCTTCGCGCGGAAATGGCTATACGCACTCCTTCAAGAGATCATGCCGCTCGGGCCACCCTTTTCGAACGGCGCGTGAATCACTGGGGCGCTCGTTAACACAGCCCCCCGCCTGCGTTCACGCCGCTTCGCGGCGACAGTATCGGCTGCTAATTACAAAGCGTAACCAGTACACGCCGCTTCGCGCCGTCCAGCCGGCAATCCAAGCCCCGCTGTCCCCGATCGCACCTCCGGAAAGGGAGTCCGATACCATTTAGTTCTGCAAAGTTTCTCGACAACATTCGATTTTTCTTTTTTTTACTGTTCATCGCAAAAAAGGAAATGTCGTAAATATCGCCAAATGCCTCAACAAAACAAAATGTTTAAGAAAAAAAAAAAAAAAAAAAAAGTAGGCCCACCGCGGATCGAACTTGCGTCCACTTGCGTATGAAGCGGACACCCTAACCCCTATGCCATGGCACCTTTTTTTTTTTTTTTTTTTCTTTATTTTTTGAATTTTACAACACAGGAAATGACATCAGTGAAGGGCTAAAAGAGCCACCCTGGCCGATAATAGAAACGAAAATTAAAAATCCTTAATGGTCGCCAGCTCTTCAAGAACGGGCAACCTCTCAGGTAACGGTTGTTGCATTTTCATCACTTCCTGCAGGTGACACACCGTTTCTACAAAGTACTTGTGCACTGGGCGGACGTTGATATCGGCATGACGCACCGCAAGACGACACTGCCAAACACTGTGCAGGCCTAAAAGCATTATAAGATCATAAGGCACCGTGCCCTTTCCATCTACAGACAGGTATCGGATGCCGTGAGGCGATAGGGGTAAGTCCTTTTTTATCGTTCTCTGCAGAACATCCCAAAAGAACACCGCGTCCCAGCAGTCGATAAATACGTGTTCTATTGTCTCGGGCTGCTTACAGAGGACGCAGTGCTCTGACCATGCTGTTGGTACGCCTTTAGCGATAAGCCATGTTTTAACGGGCAGGGTTTCACTGTGCAACTTAAAGAAGAAAGTTTTCACGTTCGCGGGAACTACCATCTTTTTAACTCTTTTTAAAACGTCTAGTCCCGGGCCTGCACTGTATCTGGACCGGTACAACGGGACAGGAAATAACAAATCAATCAAATCTCTTGACAAACGTTTACGCGATACCTCAGCGAGATAATCCAAAGAGAAACGCGTCGCTAAAAAGCGGTACGCACCGATGACTTCCTTAAAATAGCCGTATGCACCAGAAAAACAATCATCACACGACGCAACTACTAACTCTGGCAAAACATTGTATAGCCTTAACTGAATAACAGTCCTAAGAAAAGGGTCTTTCTGGTCACGAAGAAAAAGAAATCTGTTGACCAGTTGTCTTATGAACATGTGTGTGAGGCCTAGCCCTCCGTCTTTCACCCGACGAAAAATATTGGTTCGACACATTCTTTCCCAGGAGGAACTCCAGACAAAAACAGCAAAAACCCGATGCATACGCTGTATCTTAATTCGCAAACAATGTATCACCTGTAGTACGTACCACAGCTTTGCTGCTAAAAAGGTGTTACAGATAGTTGCGCGAGCAAAAATAGACATGGCACTTCCTCTCCACTTCTCAGTCCTTGCACGCAAAGTTTCCGTTTCCTCGCGCCAAAACTGATCGCTGGAGCGGTAGTACTCTAACGGTACGCCGAGATAGCGCACCGGCGTGACAGACCATTCAATGCGCTCAAAAACCGGAGGCGTGGAGGGCCAGTCGCCGTGCCAGAAACCCAGACACTTCTGCCAGTTGACAGAACTACACGTGTTTTCACAAAACGTCACAGTTAACTCTACGGCTTTTTTAACACTCTCTTTATCCAAACAAAAAACGGCCACGTCGTCCGCGTAAGACAAGATCCGAACTTCACTGGCCTGTAATTTGAAGCCACATATTTGGTTACTACCTATGACGCTTAAACAAAAGGGTTCTAGATAAATACAAAAAAGCAGTGGTGAAAGTGGACAGCCTTGCCGCACTGAAGAAAAAGGGGAACGCGGTCACTGACCCGCTTGTTAACAATAAGTCTGGTGGCGCAGTTCTGGTACGCCATACGCAGACCTTCAATCAAAATAGAGCCTACGTTTACATGCTCTAAAATAGAAAAAAGTATTTCATGGGACACTCTATCAAATGCTTTTTCAAAATCAATTTGCAGTACCGCCACTCTGCGCTCCATAGCATCGCAACACTCTAAAATGCTGCGTGCCACATGGACGTTGGTTACAATGCTTCTCCCCTTAATGCCGCATGTTTGATGCGGGCCAACAATCTTGGCTATTACAGACTGTAAATGTTCCGCCAAGACTTTCATTAAAATTTTATGGTCAACATTAGTCAACGTTATAGGTCGATAAGAACTGACTTGACGAAGTTTCGCGGGGTCATCACTTTTCGGAATGAAAACGGTATGTGTGCTAAAAAAGATGGTGGCAAAAAGCCGAGGTGATAAGCCTCGCGGATAACACCGAGCAAAAAAGGAGCGACGTCCTCTTTAAACGCTTTATAAAAGTCCCCTCCCAAACCATCCGGGCCGGGCGATTTACCTTGTTGCAAATTATCAATAGCTCTTTCGATTTCACTTAAAGGGGCACTGACACATCAAAATCATATTTTTTTTTATTATCCGAAACGATTGAAAACGATGCCGGGACATTACCCTCAAAATTTGAAATTTGGGAATGCAGTATTTGTGAAGTAAAAAAACAATTTCCAAATGCCGAATTCGAAGTTCCCGCGCGGTCGGCGCCGGTGCCTTGACGTCAAAAATTGCGGAGACCTGAGAGTCGACTTCTTTTCACCACTCCCCGCTGTTGCCATGGCGACCCAAAGCGAGGAGGAAAGGAGTGCACGGCGGCGTTGCGGCGGACCGGTTTTGAGCGGTGTCGCCTGTTTTCCGTTGGAGGATACAAATCCAGGAGACGGCACCACAACGAACTCCCGATTTTTGGTATTTCAAAAAAAAGGGCCGTAGTGCATTCGCAATTGCGTTAAAAAACATGTTTTAGGATTGCCGTAATTAAATGTTATAGAGATGTCGCCTACAAAGCTTCTAAATTTCCTGATTTTTGACGTCACCGATCAAAAGAAGCGAGGAGGCGAGAGGCGGGAAAATCAAACACCAAAAATAAAAAGGCGCGCGCGCGCGCGGGAAATTTTTTTTTCGCGATGCGTTTTTTTTTTGCGTGTTTATGACTGCAACTTGCATCGTTTTAGACAATAAAAATAAATACAACCTTTGGGGTGTCAGTGCCCCTTTAACTCTATCGGTTGTTCTGATAGTTCCTTAAGTTCATTCTCAAGTGTTGGCATAAGTGGCAAAAAAATACTATTAGACTCCGTTTTCTGCGGGGTGCGATACTTGAAAAGTTGGGTATAATAATCGACAAAAGCGCTTTCTATTACGTCTCTATCACCAGACACTCTTCCTTGATAAAAGATTTCACTTATTTCATTTTTGCTTGCATATTTCTTTTCTATGCCCAAGGCTCTTTTTGTTGGCAACTCTCCAAGCGATAACCGCTTTAAAGGGATACTACAATGAAATTTCGGCGCTAATTTTTTGGTCTACATGTGTTCAAAAAAGCAGCATCACATCGAACATACCAATATCTTGTTAAAAAAATCACGAAAAGGAATTTTAAAACGAACTAAACGATTAGCAAAGAGCACCTGGTGCATGTCGCTAACGCCTCGCTTGTAATGCCCGTCTAGGAACCTTGACAGCTAGTGAAAAGGTTGTCTCGTCTCCGGTAACGACGAGAGAAGAGGGGCAGGAGGAACTCCCCTCTTCCTGAGAATTCCATTTGTGTGTCGCAGAAGTCACTATTGTCCCCCTACAAGATTACAGAAGATTAACCCGTCACTCAAAATTCGTACAAAAGCAGCCGCTTCGGTGGCTGGAACGACTAGGCCATCCTCTCGACGTCAGCCTCGCCGTAGCTTTGCTCGTCTTGAGACGACCTACGTCACGTTTGCGTTGGATGTCACGTGGTCTCCGCTGGGCCTTCTCCGAGCGCTTGCCAGAGTGGGCCGTTTATAACGAAAAATACAGCCACCAGGCTCAAAATACAAACGTGCGATTGTGATTTACGGATACTTTGGATCATATTCAACCTATTTTTGAACACGACAGGAATATTTCAAATTTCGTTGAAGTATCCCTTTAAACGCACCCGCACCATGGCTCCCTGAAACCGTTCGGTATCGAGAGCTTCCAGCCGCTTTTTAAGATTGCTGATGTCATCCGAAAAAATACCCGGCGATAAGCACTCTTCGCGCACTAGCTGGTCTAACAGGCCTTTTAACTCTTTTATTTCTTTCCTTTCGACATGCTTCATCAAACTAGAATGCTCGATTGCACTCATCTTAATCTCTTGTTTAAACAATTCCCATCGTGTGCCGAAACCTTCGTCGAGGCCACCCAGTTCACTGAGCTTTTTTCGAACTCCCTTTACGAAAAAATCGTCCCCTAACAGCTGCGAATTTAGTTTCCAAAGGTGCCATGTAAACTTATTGGGAGCTTCCTTAGCGGCCCACAACATAAACGAAACGAGGCAGTGGTCGCTAAACGACACGGGCTCTACTGTGTACTTCTTACACGCCCTGACGAGATCAAGGGAAACGTAGGCCCTATCCAAGCGGGCATGACTGGCCCCTTGGAAGTGGGTAAAACGCACACCTGGCGCTCCTGACACAGAGTGACCAATGTCTTCCATCCCGTACTGCTCGATCATGTCGCTTAAAAACATTGTGCTCGCGTCTCTATACCGGATATTGTTAGAATGGTCCTGCGGTGCACACACGCAGTTAAAGTCGCCGAGAAAAATAACTAGTCTGTCGGTTTGTACATACTGTTCCAAATGCTCAAAAAATATTAAGCGCTCATTCATTCTGGTGGGTGCATAAACACACAGGACTCGAAACTTATAGCTAGAACTAAGAAAATCACACGTTACAAATCGGCCAGACTCACAGCTTGTTCAACGGTCCCTAAAGACTTCCTTAATAACAAAAGACACCCGCCCGAATTCCCAACGGCGTAGCTTACGCAAACGTTGTATCGCGCCTCAAAAATTCGCACCATGCTTTCCGTCTGGGCCTCACTTTCCATCTTCGTCTCTTGCACCGCAACAATATCCATATCTTTCTCGATAAGCAAGCGGTTTACTTGATATTGGCGGCGTCGAGCACATAAGCCCCGCACGTTTAACGTGCCCACACGCAGGGGCCTTGCGAGTTGCATTAGAGGGCGAGAGGAGGCAAGACGGAAAACACGGTGCCTACAAGAACCGGCATGTGTTGCCTCGACGAGACAGCGTTCGATTGTAATTTAACTGCATAGTGACGACACATACCCGGAGCACTTGTGGTAATGTCTATCTTCTCCGACACCGTTCCATCCCTCCCACAAGCAGCCGCGCCCGCAGTCCCCGTCCACCAAGCCATTTGATCCTGCCCCCCATCCTTCGTCGTCCTGACTTCGATTCCCTCCGTCTTTGGTCGTCGGAAAGAACTAGTGATTTCGCTACACGACTCTTTTTGCTGTCAGGGGTGTTCCAAGACCTTGTATTGGTGTCTTGCTCTGTGACAACTTCTTGCGAGGTGACAGTGAGTCTCGGAGTCGCTTGGGGGGCTGTCCATCGGTCGTGTCTTCATCCAAGTCTTTGGTCGCCGCGCCGTCAGAACCGCTGTCACCTGCGCCTTTCGGTTCACATGCTGCGGGGTGGGTGACATCTGTTTTTGGGGTCGTTGGGTTCATGCTGTCCGCGGCCATCGTTCCTGGTTCACTTGGCGTACCTTCCGTCGCGTATCGTGGAGCCGCGGTATCAGGAGGGCTGGTGCTCGCAGGGGCAGGGGACCCACAGTTGTCGGGAGGTGAAGGCAAGTGCGGCGAAGAGCCTCCTACCGCTTCCTCTGCCTCCGCGACGTCCATGAGGAAGTCGGAGTGGTCGCCTTCGCTTCGGTCACGCGCCATGGTTGCGTACGTCTTGACGCAGTCCTCTGCGTCGTGGCCGTAGCGGTGGCAGTCGGAGCAGCGAGGGATGCGGCAATCTCGGCGAATATGACCCTTACGCCGGCAGCGGAGACAGAGCGGAGCTCGTCCTGGCACCAAGACCAACACCTTACATCCTTCCAGACGGAGCTCATGGGGGAGGCTGTCGACAGTGTTGCCTTCCTGGAGGGTCAGGCGCACGATCCGGGTGTTCGACTTGACCGCCTCAAACCCCTTCTCCCGGAATCGCTCTCTGGTGACGTCGGCGACTTTGCCGTAGCGCTCCAGCTCTTTCTTCACAAGGACGTTGGGAACGTCGTATGGGACCCAGTGCAGCTTAAGTGTCACCGCCAAGCTCGCTGGGTCAATGACGAGGCAGCGGCCCCCCTTCACAGTCAGTTCTTTCGCATCAACCAGCCTTTGCTTTGCTGCCAGCGAGTGCAGCCTCAGCAACCACACGTGGTTCATTTGATGGGGCCCGGCAGCTGCCAGGTCCTTCATCACATCCAGCCGTTGCAACTCTTGACGGAAATCTTGTATCTTGTACGGACGTCCTTTAACATCACAGTGCAGGAAGACTGCGTTGGTCACAACGTATCCGTTTGGCAGCGGAGGCAAGATAACCTGGTAATCGTCGGGGGATCCAGAAACAGAAATACCGCGGCCTGACGCGGCCGTTTTCACCACTCCTACGGAGCATATGATAACACGTCCGTCGCGCTCGGCAGCCGGAAGTGGAATGGCCCTATGCCATGGCACCGCTTAGGAAACTCGTTGTGTCCACTCTTTTTATACGAGAAAAGCGGAGTGCGTATAGCCATTTCCGTCCGAAGCGCACTCCGGAGTGCGTATAGCTTTACTCTTATTTGTTTGTCTTGTAACTGCGGCATCACAAGCCTTTTGGTACGGCGTACTCGCCTTACTGTGGTGCCGCAACTCTCCTTAGTTGAATCAATGTTATTATTATTATCAAACATGATTACAACCAAAACTGAAAGTTCAATCCCGATCGCAGCGCTCGCACGAAACAAATCCTACCATGCCGGCAACACCATTTTTTTGTTCTTTTTAAGAATTTTTTGTTATTCATCACATCCTTTCGACGAAGCAAAGCCATTCACTAAAACGACGTTTCATTAAACATTGGGTGGAGTTGCACTCGGCGCAACGTAGTCCGTTCGCCAATCAGCGGTTTAATGACAACTCAAGATATCATTGCAACGGGACACGCTTCAATACCTCGAACAATTTTTTTTTTTTTTTTTTTTTCGTAGATGACTACGGTTGAATGGCATACGAACAAACCGCCCTAGAGATTAGTGGAAAAGTATTCCTCGTCTGGGCGTCAGTCGAAATCGTAAGACGTAGCATAAGGCACAAAAGCTGTTTGTTACAGGCACAGGAACACATTGTTATTAGAGGATTGTGAAGCCAATGTTTAGTAGGTCAAAATATTCATAGCTAGATTATTGTATAAATCCGAACGTTCAAGAGAAAAGTTCAAGAACACTTACCACGGATCCCGCATACTGAACGCCATTTTGATTTTGCCAGGTGATGGACGTGAATCACGTGCTGGACAAATGGCAACTGGATGTTTTTTTTTAACAGACGGTAGCTAGTGTCACCTACCGTATAAAATTTAAAACATTTTTTTTATTTTTTTTTTACGAGAATTTTAGCAAAAATAAAACTAGTGCTTCAGAAATACGTTTATGAGAGCTTTTAACACATCGTAAAGCCATAAAAAATCAGGTAGAATTACTATTGATAGATTGATAGACGTGCTGCGCTGCGAAGTTCTGCAGAACAAACGCGTGACTAAAAATTGAAAATGAAAAGGATGAGTTTACATTGAGATGAGGAGAAACACAACGAACACAAATGGGCGCATACTAACAACTGTTTATTCTTTTCTTTTTCCTTTTCAATGCATGAGTTTCCCAATGCGCGAGTTTGAAAAGGAGCGAACGCTATGAAATAATGATAAATGTCTTCATGAAGATGTGTGGACTTTCGATTTTTGTGGTGTTTTTCCCGTTTTCTGATAAACGTTCGGTTTTTGTGGTGTGAGAGGGGACCTTGAAGCTGGTGCTGGTATCCGCCTCGTTATGTTATGTATTGTCTCAGCAGTTCAATTTTCTTTTTGTTCAGAGCAATGGAGGGATCACTGACACACTTGCCGTGCTTCCCTGATGCCATGTGGAAGGCTTCTATGATTTCTCGTTTGTTTCTATTTTTTGATCTGTCCATTGCTTGCCAATTGTCATGTTCCTCCGCGGGGAAGAGGGCATGTCGAAAGACGAAGCGACACATAAGTAGACGAACAAAAATTCATTTTACTCACAAGCACAAAGGAAAGCAGAATTACTAAATGGAATCGTTGGAGTGGGCTGCATCGCGGCAGAGGATCGCGGCTCTGGGATCCATAACTGGGATCGCGGACCGCGGCCTCGGCAGCTGGGAGCTGGGGCCGAGTGTCGCCACTAGGGGTGTCGCGAACTTTTGTCGAACCGGATTTTTAGATCGTACTTTCGGGGTTCGACTGGGTCGAACCGGTTCGACGAATTTTCGAAACTTTTCACCAGATTCGACCGGTTCGACTTTGCGGACAGTTGAGCCAGACCTTGATACACGCATGTCTATGCTTGGAGAATTAATTTTTATGCAAAGAGTTATTTTTTTTATGAACAGTTGCAAGTAAAAGAAACAATTTTTAGTCGCTGAAGACGTTAATAACTTAATTGTTTTCTACTGTATTAACTGAAATAACCAATCAGCGGTGCCCTTAATTCATCACTTAGCCATTACTATCCAATCCGAAGCCAACTGTCCAGCCTGTGGCTCATGCGCACTACATAGAGTTATTATTAGCGATGTGCGCGACCAAAAGCGTCGCTGTGGTCAGCTTTCCACAATTGGCCAAACCATGGGCATATGAGCACTGTCAGATTGTCAACTTTGACGGTGTTAGTTTCGGATTGCGATGGCTCCTAGCTTCTGCTGTGCTTTTTAAGCACACCATCGGACTCGTCGTCGCACCCGATGGTAAGTAGCCAGAGTAACAACTGGTGACGTCACGGCGAGGCAAATCCCAGTCGTGACGTCACGGAGGGAAACCATAAGAGGGCGCCACCGAAACATCTCGGCGCTAATAATGGCGCACTAGGGGTGTCGCGAACTTTTGTCGAACCAGATTTTTTGGTCGACCTTTCGGGGTTCGACTGGGTCGAACCGGTCGACGAACCTTCGAACTTTTAACCAAATTCGACCGGTTCGACTTTGTGGACAGTGTGGCCAGACCTTTATAAAAGCATGTCTAAGTTTGGAGAAATGTTTTTTATGCGAAGGGTTATTTTTCAATTTATGAACAGTTGCAATTGAAATAACCAATTCTAATCACTGAAGAAGTCAATAACTTAATTGTTTTGTGCTGTATTAACTGAAAGAACCAATCAGCGCTGCACTTAGTTCATCTCTTAGCCATTATCATCCAATCCGAAGCCAACTGGCCAGCCTGTCGCGCATGCGCACACGAGTCGAACCTCAATAGAAGGTTCGTCGAAATTTCCACCAAAAGTTCGAAAAAGTCGAACCTGGTCGAACTCGAACCGCAGCCGGTTCGCGACACCCCTAATGCGCACACGAGTCGAACCTCAATACAAGGTGCGTCGAAATTTCCGCAAAAGGTTCGAAAACGTCGAACCTGGTCAAATTCGAACCTCGGCCGGTTCGCGACACCCCTAGTCGCCACCGGCGGCCATTGATTGACACCGATGCATACACCATACACGTTTGCAAGTCTGGTCTGAGGACGCCGCCACCTTCCTCAGTGGGGTGCGCTCTTGGGCGCAGCCATAATCCGATTACGACGCCCTAGCAAGGCGCAAGGCTTCGTAATCGGATTATCACTCACCAACGTTACTTTGTCACTCCCCCAAGCGGACCCCAGCCAACAAGATGGCAGCGCCCTGAAGCCGGACTTGCAAACGTGTTATGGAAAGAACGAGAAAAGGTGCCGTTTCCTCCGTTTCTAAGCCTTGGTCGGCACTGACAATGTTTGGCTGCTTTTCGATAAGCCCGTTAAATAGCTTGTGTACAAACATTAAAACTGACAGCCCTCGCAATTCTAATAAATAAATATTTTGTGGTCGAGAGTGACTCCGCTGTGGTGCTGCTCAATGAGACGAGAGTCACCCAGAGTTACCGCGGAGTCGGTGGCGGCTTCGTTGACCTAGAACACAAGGCCTGCGCGTTTCCTCCTCTAAACGTCATCACTAGTAGATCCCCTCAGCGCCCCCTAGCTAGCCCGGATGAGCAACATCGTCTGCTAAATCGTCTGCTCCATCGCCTGCTTCAGTGGTTTCTGTAACAGATAAAGAAACATGCTCACGCCGGGTGTCTCTTGCAAATAGCATACGACGGAGTTAGACGTTCACGTGGAGCGTCAAATGCATGAGCGAAATTGCCTTACTGCTGCGCGAAGGGCTGAAAAGCCCTTCGTTGGACGCTGGACGCTGACATTGGACGCCATTTTCGAGGGCGCTGTTTATACCTCGGGTAGCTGCTTCGAAGCGTTCTACCGCAGAACGAGCGCGCGCGCTAGAGATGCGAGTCTCAAAGCCAAGAGCGCGTGCTAGCTCGCGCTCCTGGCCGAGGGAGCGTTCGCGTGCACGTCGCAAACGCACTGGAAGCTCGCTATCAGCTCGCGCTCAGCAGTCACGCACACAGCTGCGGCCGCAAGTGAATGCGACGTAGTTGCGACGCGGCCCCTACTCTCGTCAAGCTTCGGGGTGTTTGCCGCTTGGGGCGGGTCGGGGATCTACTAACGAAACGTCATGCGCAGGCCTTGTCTTCTAGGTGGTATTGGTTTAGCAGACGACAAGCTCGAAGGCTTTGCTACGCGGAATTCGCTCACTCCCGGAAAGCCGCTGTCGGGATGGAACTTCTTTGTCATTCATAAACTTCTGGGCTTCTCCGAGGACGGTCTCATTGACGGCAAGTTCCTTTGTTTACTCCACTACGAGAGCAAGCGTGCCAGCTCAGCCGTAGGTGCTCCGGTACGTTTGATTTTCTTAATCGGTGTTCGAACGTTTGACAAATACCGATTCGATCTCCAAACACCCGACATAAGGATTGCAGCACACCATAAATTACTCGCCTTCGAGCACAGCGTACATGCTTCAATATTCTTACTTTTGTGCATGTATTGCCTGGTGTCAAGCTATGGCAAGCTATGGCCGCCGGTGGCGACACCGACGGGCTCGTGATCAGTGGCAGTACCTATGACCACAGTGCGTATGACTACGGTAGCTGGAGGCTCAGATTCAGATAACGTTTATTGAGAACAAGAAAAGGACTGCTTCGATTAAGAAAGCGTCGTGATGCGGTCACTGCTTCGGTGGGGCATCTTTCTTGGATGGAGTATGTATGGGTGTCGAAGTGAGAGTATGAAGGGGGGGGGGGGGGGGGGGAGGAGGGGTTCAAGGCTGTGGTGACTCTAAAGTGAGTTGCTTAGTCCTCCACTGGAGATGAATTCCAACAGAGAGCCCAGAATTCTTGTGCGGCGTTCTGCGTCGCCGATGGGGTGGGTCCATTCCCGTACGCTGCTGGGCACTTCATCTGGAGGGAGTGTGGCCCAGACTGTTTGGCGAGTCTCTCGGAGAGCTTCGCATTCCCAAAGCAAGTGCTGAAGTTTCGGGAGCTTGTCGGGGTGTTTACATCTGTGGCAGCGCGGGTCTGTTGGAACAAAGTATGGGTCCGTCTTTCTTTTGCGGTTCAGCTCGAAGATGTACGTCTGGTGGGGTGTGATTGCTCCTCCGGTACGCACTCTTCTGAGTAGAACGGTCTGGTGCCATTTGAATATCTTTTCAGGGATCGGGTACGATTCCGCCGTCCAGGGCCCGTTTGCTCGAAGCGCTAACCGCGGCTAAAGTTAGCCGCAGTACCTAGGAGAGGGATTTTGAGATCACATGACTGGCTCGGTAGGGATGCGGGGAAACATGGCGGTGCCCCAGTGAGTGAGCGCCGGTCGCTTTGGAACTAATATGTCGTTGTAGCTGCAATATCGGGCGCGTTAGTCAGCAACGAATAATGCAGGAAGCTTTCCTTTGCCTTACCTCACTTAAACCGCAAATCATGCGCAATGACATCGCCGCATTTTTTAGGTAGTGTTTCGATTCTGGGCATTCCTAAGCCTAAATGAACGCGATAATTGTCGGCATGGCAACGTCTTTGGAAAGCGGATTGTTGATAGCACACAAAAGCAGACAGCATCCCGACAGACTTTTTTCTAAATTATCTAAGCATCGCGAGGAAAACGCTGGAAGTCCAATTCTACGGTTCACGCGCGCTGGCCTTCCTCTTATAAAAGATTTGAAGCAAATACTCATGATAAGGCTCTGACGAACGCGCGTGCAAGGCAAAATTTGTTTTATACTTTTTGCTTTAGAACGGTTGCTACTGCAGACGCCAGCACGTGCGACGCGTGCAACTACAGTCGTAGCATGCACTTCGGTGCTTGGATAATTTAGAGAAAAGGTCTGTTGGGACGCCGCCT